CAATATAAACTGATGAAAAAAAGTTTGCATGAGAAATGGATGTTTTCACGAATAATAAGAATAATAATGTAAAATTTTTTATATACGTTCTCAGAAATAACTTAATTTTATTTGGTTGATAAAAAGTATTATTACGAGTAATTTATGAAAGTTTTCCAGAAATAATTAAGTAATATTTTATTTGATTCACATGTTAGGAGATGGTTTATTTGGGGAGAAATGTACCAAAATCGAAGAGAATCGCCACAAGCAGAATTAGTACCTAACTTAATGGACTAAAAAATATTGATATTAGGTAATAAATGCATTAAGAACAAATGTTCATGGGTGTGGTTATAAATTAATGATATAAAGGAAAAATAATAATTATAGAATCTAAAAATGGGTGCATGTTACTTATAATGAAGAAAAAAAAATACATCCATTTATTTCTTGTATTAAACATTAGAGAAAAATGTATATTTGTTAGTGTTTATTGTTTATAAAAGTTTGTTCTTATTAATGAAATTGTATTTTATTGAAGTTTAACCATAAGTATGACATTATATTATATCAATTTTGACTTTTAACGTTAAATATATATATATATATATATATATATATATATATATATATATATATATATATGAAATGATGGTTTATTTAAACTTTTAGTATTATAGTAAAAAATATAAAGGCATTTCTTGAATGGAAAAAAAAGGGTTAATCCATTAAATTAAATTTATAAAAGATCTCTTAAATCAAATTAGTGGAGATAATAACATTTAAGCTTCATTTAGTAAGTAAAGTTGATGGAATAAAATAATTATCATATTTTTAATAATAAAATATTTTATTAATAATTTTTAAAGAATTAAAAAAAATGATATTTTACAATTGATAGTGATATAAAAACAGTAAAACTCGATTATTTTAATATTAAAATAGTTTAATATAAATATTGTTTTTATAAACGAGTTTCATTATTTTAAAATGTACAATCTTTTTATAAATCATTTTTCTATAGTTATGTGACTTCTTTCTTCTCTTTCTCATTCATTGTTCATATCTAATTGAATATTTGAGACTGTAGACATGATCTTTGTGGCAAACTTTTCAATCTATATTGATTAGTTTCTTCGTTTGCGTAAGTTAGTTTTATGTCATTTTCTCTTGGTCCAATCCATTTTGTTCTTGCATGCAGTTTTCTTTAGGTTGCACGTGTCATTTAAGTTATCAATATGAGTTTTTGTTTATCAATGATTATAATGATATGTCTTGATTGTTCTTGTGATCTAGAGTTGTTTGAGGTGTTTTATAGGTGAGGAAAGTTCAATTTGTGTTGTTATACATGTTTTATTGTTGTATTTTGTTGATTGGAAATTTATTGTGTGTGGAAGCTTAAGTTGTAAATCAATGCTGTGTTTGTTGATAATGTAAGTTTGTTGATTCGTGTAACTTATGTATTTGATTTGTGCATAATTGTGTTGTCTTGGATTTGATGGTTTATATGATGTTAATGATTGAGAGAATTTTGGAATGCCCAATTGGATAGATTGGTACTAGTTAGAAAATGTTTTGAAACAACTAAAAGTCAAGAAAGAGTGAAAAATACTAATTTATGTAGTTGAGTAATCTAAAATATTGCAATTTAGAAATCTGTTGCCATGGCGTTGAGCAGTATCATAGTGGTGCTGAGTGTCAAGTTTATAATCTCAAGTCAATGGCATTTTCGATGATAGGATGTTAAGTTGTGATTCTATTGTTGAGTGCTCAAGTCAATGAGCTTTAGTGATCCTAATATTGAGTGCTAGTTTTCACTGTTGAGCTTTCTCAAATCACATAGATCCAAGGGTTGTCAACATTGAGCACTAGTTTGTACCACTGAACGCTCCCTTGATAATGAGCCCCTATGAGATTTAGCGTTGAGGGCGCCTTGTTACTGTTGATCACCAGTTTTATTGTGTATTTTCATACACTAATTGTTGTTGTTTTTAATCTGATTTTAGTGGTTCTAATGTTTAATATTATTGTTGTTAATGGTTTTCATGGTGTATATAATTGACATTGAAAATGTAGTAGTAGATATATGAGTCGATGAAATTAAAAAGAAATTTCATAGGGGTAAATCTTATTATTGTATGACTTCTTTAGTGTATGTATTGATGTATGAATTCAAGGAAATATCATGATACTCTAATAACCATTCACATTCATATAAAGTAAAATGAGTTATGTTGTGAGAGTAGGAGGATATCCTAACACGAACATGATTAACCTTGTGAGTGATAGAGTGAAACTCATTGACAATAATTTTGTAGAGCAATAAAGGTCATCAAATGTGTCAAATGATTTTAACATTAAATGTATTTATCCATATAATTGAGTTTAGAAAACATCTTAGATTATATGGTTTATTTATATATGGTTGTTGGACACACATTTTATTGTGATAGAACATCTTTTGTTAATATATGATATTTTTTTTCAAATTAATTTACCGTTTTATTTTTTTTATCTTCTGTGTGATTGTCTTTTTCTTTTCTTATGATGACCTTAATAGTGTGAACAATCAATATATAAAGATAGCCAAGGTAGAGTTATGAATATGAGTGATTTTGATACATAACTTTGTTAATTTAGTATGATTCTATAAATATCATATTTTTAAAATATTATTTAAATAATTATATTAATATATTTTATACACGGAATAGAATATTATTATAAAGTTTTTATTTTATTATATGCTTAAATAAAATAAAATGTTACATTATTAGTATATATTTGTGTGCATTGTTTATTTGATAGTGCATCGCATTTTTATTTTTTGTAAACTTATGAAAAGAAAAGTTGGTATCTTAATTAAAATATTTTTTCTTTAAATATTCGTCTTGACACCACCTTTGTTAATATTATATTATAATAATTAATATCTTCATTCTCGTAATATTAGTTAGCATGTATAAATCACTATCATCATTATTGTTATTTTCTTTATAACAACCACCGTATAATTACATATAATTACCTTTATAATCATTATTGTATATTATCATTAAGTTATTTCGATTTTATGAATTAAAACTACATTTTTTATTAATATTTTTATATCATGGATACTATCTACCACTTTTATTATTATCTCTCATTATTATTGACATCAATATTATCTTACTATTATTTTACCATTACCTTTATTATTATTATCTTCATCATCTTATGTTATACCATTCACCCTCATCACTACCATAACCTATTATTATTTAAGTTTTGTTTTATATTATCTTTATATTATATATATTCTTAATATGTCTAACAGTTAGTTGAGATATTAAGGCATAAAAACATTTCAAAAAATAGTAAAAATAGAAAGAAAATCATTTTCTTACATATTTTATTTGAAATTAAAATAAAGGAATATTTACATGTAACCTAAAAAAGAGAGGATCTTATTACAATATGTTTTATTACTATATGTTAAATTACATTGCTTACTATTCCCACCTTAGCTGTGGTTTCTATCATTTTTGACATTTAAGTAAAAATTATTTTACATATTTTTATTTGGTTGATGTAAGAAAAAAAAATGGAAAATTCACTAACATACTTTATTTATCTAAAGTGAGCATACTTTAAAAAATAAAATATTGTTGCTGACTAAAAACTGTATAAATGGAATTATATTAATAAAATTTAAAATTATTTATAATCTCATCATCATCATCATACTTCTATTCTATAATAGAAAAGAAATTTCTTTGTTGGTGTACACATTTATTTTCTATTCTTACTCTTTAAATAATTGTTTTTTAAAAATTAAAGTAATTATTTTATTAATATATTTGAACGATTTCAATTGAAATTGGACGACTAATTTAAATTTAATAAAAACATGTTTAAAATTAATTTAATTAAATAAAACCTAATAAGATAGTTAAAGTTGATTTAAAAATATTTTACAAAAATATAATTTTAATAAAAATATTAATATAATATTTATGTAAAAAATGTTTTAACTAAAAGAGATTATATTTTACATTTTTTTAAGAAAATATGATTAAATTAAATAAAATAAGTAAATATAGAAACTAAATTAAATATAAAATAACGGCACCTGACAGATAGATGTAACAAAAATATCTGAAACTAGACTTACCTCAGAGGTTTAGTTGTAAATGCTCAGTCCAATTTTGTATTTCTTTTGATTAATATATTTCAATTTTTATATTTTTTGTGTGTTTAGAATCATTTTATAATTATGACTCGACGAATCTTATGAGTGTGTTTTAGATTGAAAATACAATTGCATGACAAGGTTTAACTATTATGCTCCCTTCTTAAGCTTTGGTTATCTCTGTGGCTGAACACGGATTAGCTAGAAACGGTGAGTAGTTGATTCATCTCTTATTCTGATAACTGTTGATTAAAAATATGCTATTTAAAAAATAGATTATTTTTTTATTCATCATGACCCGCAGATAATTACGACTCTCGAAAGGATACAGCTTTATATATATATATATATGCAATTCACGTCATTTCATGTTACAAAAGTTTTAGTACACATAAAAAGAAAACTCCAAGGATAAGGACAAATAAAAATCACATAGCACCAATAGCCACGTAACAATCAGAATATATTCTCTCTACAATACCAAAAGCCAATTCTGATCACCTTTTCTAGGTAAATTAAGCCGTCAATATATGTCTAACAAGAAACCTGTGCAATGTATATACTTAAATAAGCACATTGTATAATGGTAAAACTCTCTCACGATAGTGGTTTTATCTCCTTAACTATGTTAATTAGTTCCATTTCCTTTTTAAAGGAAACTTATTAAAATTAAATAAATTTTTTCAATAAATAATAAGTAACACTAAAATTTAAAAATAATAATAAACAAAAGGTAAAAGTTTTATAACGATAATAGTTATTTAAATTGAAAAACATGTTGTGACCTGAGAGAAAGCTGTATATATATAGAGTCCACCGATTTTTAATAATTATTGTCATCTGGAAAGTAGAAAGAAAATGGCGATTTCTAGTTGTGGAGAAAAGCGAGTGATGGTGTTAGCGATGGACGCACATGAGCATAGCAACTATGCCTTGGAGTGGACACTAGACCACTTCTTCACCCCTTTCGGTGCAGATGCTCCTTACAATCTTGTTATTATCAATGCTAAACCCTCTCCTCCCCCGGCTGTCACCATGGCAGGACCTGGTAGCAAGCGTTTCTTTCTTCTCTTTGTTTTTAGTTATTACAAAAGGTGCGGCTACTGATTAATTTTGGTAATGGATGGAACTCACAACAGGTGTCTTAGGTTCTGAAATATTTCCTGCCGTAGAAGTGCAGCTCAAACTCAATGCTAATCAAATTGTAGAAAAGGCAAAGCAAATATGTGCCAGTAAATCGGTAGTTATATTATGAATGAACGAACGATCTATATAATTAATGAATTATTAACGATTTGGATTGGATTGAAGGTTGATGAGGTGACGGTGGAAGTGGCGGAAGGCGATGCGAGGAACGTGCTTTGTGATGCTGTGGAGAGACACCGCGCATCCATATTGGTTATGGGGAGCCATGGCTACGGAGCTATCAAAAGGTACGTATTCGGGGTCATTCGTTAACTCTACGAAACAAACACTCTGTAATCATTTGATTGCATTGCAGAGCGGTTTTAGGAAGCGTGAGTGACCACTGTGCTCGTCATGCTCAATGTTCAGTCATGATTGTCAAGAGGCCAAAGTTCAGACATTAATCAACCTCCTCTCTCATTTTTAATTATTTATGTACTTTCGCTCTATTTGTTTATCCTATTTTCTATACTTTTCCATTCCTTTCATCTTATAAACAAAGTATATATTGTCTTATTTCTCTTGATTTTTTTTTTACTTTAAGAAACCACCCTTTCTTTGAATAATCTATAAATATACTTATATAAATTATTCCACCCTTTACCATATACTAAAATTATTTGATCTTTTACTTCCAAAATTGCTCAAATATAAAAGTACAATGCATTACTAGAGCTATTCTTAAATTAGATATTTTGTACCCCTTTAATTTAATCTGTAGTGTAAATAAACTTATTTTATATTGATCATGTTTTACAAAATAAAAATAATTTAATTTTTAAAAATATATATGCGTTATAATTTATATTTATGTATATATTGTATTGTTATATCTATACTTGAAATTAATTTATTCATATAACATAAATTCAATATATTTGATTTTATTTTTATTTTTACAGCGATTTAAAATAACTCATTCTTCGGAACTACAGTAGGACCAACCATGATGATAATTGGAGAATGGTTAATTATCTTGTTGAATTGAAGAAAATAGATGCAAAAAGAAATTGTTAATACTATACTTTAATTTTGGATTTGAATGAGTTAATGATTTTCTTTTCTTTGCGAAAACCAAAAGGACTCAACCTGTTCACCAGATCAAATCTATTGGATCGAAATCGTTTAAAATTTTCCAAAATGTTGTAAATAATTATTAATCGAGTTAAGGGTAAACTAGTTTCATCAACTCCTTTTAATGAAGAAAAACTAAAATTAATTTCTTGATAAGCCAAAATTACTTATGTATAATTAATTTGTTAAATATTTTTATATTTTTCTAAATTCGTATATTTTTAATTTATGTATAAATTAATTTTAATTTAAATGCAAAAATCATCTTATTTTTTCTCCTCAAAGTGTATATGGAGACGTTTGTCCATATATATACTAGCCTTCTTTTTAATTTTTAAATTTTATAAAATTTTCATTTAGTCCTTAAACTAAATTTGATTGGTTAAATCCTAAATTTTTTATTGCTTATCTTTCGGCTTAATTCTGTCATTAATAGGTTAATTTTTTATTATTACTATTTTGTTATTTTTTGAGAGATAATTCTAATCCTTTGAAATTGAGACAAATATGCTTAGTTAGAAATAAAATGATTTTATAATATATAAATAAATATAAATTTTATTTTATAAATTATAAGATTAAATTAAACAATAACGAACAAAATCTAACAACGGACCAAACAATGATAAATAGAACCAATATCAGTGATTAAAGTACATAAACACAAACCAGCTCGAAGACACGCTGTCAGTCAAAGTCAACAACCTTAATTTAGTTTCTAACCCTAATTCGGTAATTTGAAAGTATTTGCAAGTATTTGATTTGACTCTCACCCACTATGTATCATAGTAGGAAGAGTTTTTTTATTTTTTTTCTTCATAGGTATATACGTATTTATCTTGTTACTATTTAAAATTTTAATTAATTCATATTTAAAACAATAATATTAAACAAAATATAATGTTACTAAGGATTTAATTTCAAAATAATACATATTTTATGTTTCTTTCAAATTAAATTAAGACAATAATAACTTGATAAATATTAAGATGATATATAATAATAACTTGATAAAGATCAAATAATTAAAAAAAGTAAACAATTATAAAACATATTAAATTTCATATATCAACCATTACATTTATTAATTTTACAAATTTACAAATGTTAAGTAAATTCATTTACATTCAATTCACCAATATATAAAAAGTGAGAAAAATTGGATATGAAAATAAAATTTAAAAACTTAGTTACTAAAATATAATATATCTTCATCGTCATATTCCTTTTTAATATTTTCTTTTCCAAAAACTTATAATATTAAGTGAGAATTCATAAAAAAAAATATTAATTAACAGTAAATATTAATATATTTGAATAATCTAGCTAAAAAGTCTAAGTTATATAACAAAATTTCAATACACAACCGTTTTTATAGTATTATGACGTTGTCAATTATCGTGTCATAAGATAATACAAAATAAATATATAATTTTAATGTTTTATTAGAGTTGCGAGATGAAACTGTTAAAGTTAAATTAATAAATAATATCTAGTAAAATAAAATCTACATAATATATTATCTCGTCATTCAAATAAGTACAATTTAAAGAGAAACTATCATCAATACTACTTAAACATGATTTCACTTTTCTCACCTAAATATATTAACCATCAATTTCACTTAAATATGATCCTATTTTTCTCACCTAAATACATCAACTTCGAATAAGTCAAAGGTGTTAACAAAAGAAAGCAAAGTTCTCAATTCCTTTATAGGATATTATGAACAAATAACTATTAAGGAGAAGTTCTACATTATACATTTTAATAGAAACACTAAGTTCAAGATAATTAAAATATATATTTCTAAAAATTCACACAAATTAAGTTATTCAAAATATTGAAAATATTGAAGTAGTGAGTAAATTTAATAACTAATTTTTCTTTTTTGTTAAGATCAGGTTAGGTGTAACAAAAACTAAATTCATGGAAACATTTTTGTTTTTTAATCGCGTTTATTTATTTCAATTATATCATTCTTGATATTAGTTGGACATTTTGTAACTCACCCTTTTCTTGTTGAAACTGACATTTATGATTTTTATTTATTGTCCACGTATATTACATTATATTAATGACTTTTATTTATGGAAGAAAAAGTAAATAAATGTAAAAAGAACACACACAAGCTTTTGGTAAGTGTGTTTGATGCATTCACAAGTTGTACAAACTTTTTCTTGGGTGTTGAAAAATTCACTCGCAAACACTTGACTTATTTTTAACATTACCTCACTTAAATTAAGTTTCTACCATTCCAAACTTTTTCTTCAACTTATAAAATCACTCAATTTTTAATGACTTTGCAAAATTATCAACAACTTGTTCTTCAGTGGGATAATAATTGATCACTACTTCTTTCTCGGTTATCAATTCTCGAATTTTGTAAAATCAAATATCTATATGCTTGAATCGTCCATGAAATACTATATTTTGGAGAGTTGTTATCACAAAGTATCACTGTGGAAGTATTTTGCTTTTGACACATAGCTTCAAGCATTATTGCTTGTGTAATACAACTTGTTACAATTATATATTCTACCTCTGCTATTGAGAGTTAAATTGTTGATTGTTTATTCGAGAACCATGATACCGTTCAAGTGCCTAAATGAAATGTATATACTGATGTGCATTTTTTTGTTTCAATATCTCCTGCCTAGTCACTATATGTGCATCCCACTAACTTTACAACATGATTGTTAGCATAAAAAAAAATTCCTTTAGTCAAAGTATCCTTGATATACCTGAGAATTCTTTTTGCTCTGGTAAATGATATGCATGTGGATATTCCATTAATATGTTAAGCAATCCTACTCCAAAGACAATAACTGGTCTAGTGGCATACAAATATTTGAGACTTCCAATCAAGCTCTTGTAGTAAGTTAAATTAATTCTTCTTTCATTGTTATCTTTTTTCAACTTCATCTTTTCAAGCAGGTGTTGAGATTGACTTTGAATTCTCAATTTTAAGTTTCTTCAAAATTTCTACATCATATTTCTTTTTGAGAAATGGAAATTCCATAATCCTTTTGAATAACTTCAATGACAATAAAATATGACATTAGACTTAAGTTTGTCATCTCAAAAGTTTTAACCATGACCTCCCTGAATTCTGCAATTATCTTTGGATTGTTGCCAATAAAGAGTAAATCATTGACAAAAAGGCATACAATAAGAATATGATTAGGTTCAACGTATTTGATATACAGAGTATGCTTAGACATGCATATATTTGAAAACCATTGTGCACAAAGTAAGAATCAATCTTTCTATACCAAGCCCTGAATGCATGTTTTCTCAAGCCATATAACGCCTTCTTCAACTTGTAGACTTTTTCTTCTTGGCCTTCAATCTCATATCTTAAAAGTTGTTCAACGTATACCTTTTCTTACAAAGTATATCATGTAGGAAAGCAAACTTAATATCTATTTGGTGAATTTTCCAATTATTTTGAGCTGGTGGAGAGATAATCATATGAATTGTATGTAATCTCATTACAAGAGCAAATACTTCAAAATAATCAATACGTGTTTTTTGTTTGTACCCTTTTGTTGCCAACCTTGCTTTAAAGCGACCAATTTCTCCATTGAGTTTGCACTTAGTTTTATAGACCCACTTTACTCCAATTGGCCTTTGTCTGCTAGTAACTCTGTCAATCCCATGTTTGATTCTTCTCACTAACATGAATTTCTTCATTCATTGCTTTCTTCCAATATTGATTATTTGAAGCTTTTTCAAATGTTATAAGTTCATAATATGCAAATAAAGTAAAATTGATAATTTTTTGAGATAGATCATTGTCATTTCCCATAACATAGTTCTACAATATGACCAATAGTCTTCTTTGCCTCTGTGGTCTGTTTGATGCTTCTGGCTTATCAAGTGTTGGATCTACATTATTGTTCTAATTTTCATAACTTTCTGGAATTATTATAGTCTCCTTTTAAGCTTTGAAAGACAAATCTCACACCATTAAATGAATTTTCTTGACTATTTTCTTTGTCACTATATTATAAAATTAAAATAATTTATTTAACTGTGTGATAGATTAATACATTAGGTAAAGTGTTATGGTATAAATTATTAGAGGTTATTCCTTGTTGCACTCAAACAATTATTAACTGTACTTTCACAATTATATTAAAAGACTTAAAACCCCTTTTATGATTACATTACATCAGAGTTTAAACTGTTATTGTCACTTGTATAAAACTTAAACACCACTATCGTTGTCATTGCACTGTTTTTGAAAATTTTATTTTGAAATTTTCATTTAAAAAATTCTGAAAATCTTATCTTGAAAATTTTATTATCCTGAAAATTTTCAGATATATTCAGGAAGTCAATTTCATAAAAGATAAAATGATCATTTAGAAAATTTGAAAGTGTGCTCACAAAATTTTTGTAAAAGAAGGATGATGAATGGGCCTGTCTAACAGAAAAAAGCCATTAGTAAAACAAATATAAGAAATTGTGACTGTATGTTTTGTATCGTGCTTTTAGGAAGAGACTAGGAGAGCCGCGTCGCGTGGTTTGTGTTTGCTGAGATGTCGGATCCGTACGAGCGTGTGAAAGGAGGAAGATTGGCATTCAAAGGAGGGATTCTCGCCTCTCGCTCCAAATCCATCGAGAAGAAGGGCAAGAACAAGAAGAAGAAGCGGACGACGGCGGCGGCCGCCGAGGACGAGGACTCCGGCCCTAACCCTAACCCAAATCCTGACGAAGCTGTCGACACCGACAAACAGGCGGAGGGTTCTGAATACACCATCGACGCGGCGAAGCGTATGAAGTACGACCAACTCTTCCCCGTGGAAGCCAAGAAGTTCGGGTACCAACCCAAAATTAACTTCAACTCAGTTGAGGATGCCCTCGATGATCGTGTCAAGAAGAAGGCTGATCGTTACTGTAAATGAAACTATCAATCAATTGTAAGTCACCCTTCTTCTAAACCTACTCTATTTTTCCCTAATTTTAACCCTTCTATCTTCTTCTTCCCAATTAACTTCAACTTTCAAATCCTTCCCCTCTCTCTCTCTCTCTCTCTGATTTCCATTTCAGCCTTTATTCGCGCCCTTCTGTTGTACTTTGAATATTTATTTCAAATTCAGATACTATCTTCAACTCGGTTTTCGCAATATCATCGACGCAACACTCTTGTCATCCACGTTTTCAGATATTCATTCTTATTTCTTGCTCTCTCTCTCTACTCTAGGTGGTAGCGGTGCCATGTACTGTGCACTCATTTTTCGGTGCTGTAAATGTAGCGCATACTGTTGCAGATATTTCAATATTATGAATGGATCAATATTACGCTTCAGTGAAATCATGTGTAGTTCATCTGTTTCGGTAACACTGCTGAATCCTTATTTGTTGTTTGATATTCTTCTATTATTATCAACCAGGGTCTAATATTAAAACATAGTTTTTACTTGAAGGACAAAGCAAAAAAATAGGAACAAAAACATATACAGCCCAGGTTTATAAAATTGTTGCCGCATACAGTTCAGGCGAAATGAAATTATGTTACAAGTTCATTTTTCATTTCTAGAATCACAGACAAACTTGCTAATTAGGGATAGCAGTGTGTGTAGAGTTTGTGAATTTTGATATGGTATAATAATATCTGTTTTAATTTTTTTAATTCGCATTCTTAAATATATTTCTAATTGAATGTGTATTCTCTGTGAATACTAGCAGATTAAACATGCTTTTGTTCTTATGTAATATTAGTGTGTTCTTTATTCGGTTCCTGAATTTTTTTTTTGGGTTTTTGGTTTTGGAATTTTGAAAATACTGTTTTTAATTCCTGCAGTTAATATTAGTTAAAAGTGACATATATGTGAAGCCTCGGTTCTGACCCAAGATTCATAGGACTATTCCACATAAGCCTTATATTTAAGACATGAATTATAATTTATCTAACTAGGAGGCTGAGTTCCATGACATGCGAGGTTCATCATCCATAAAGGGGACGGAGATAACTACGGTAGGTCTTATGAATAGACCCTTGAGGTCACCATATCGGGATTTGATATTCAATGCTTTAAGTTAAGATATTCAATTCTCTAAATGATTTTTGTTAGATTAGATTGTATATTAAGATTTCTAAGTTTATTCTGAGTAACTTACCTTTCTTTTACATTTTCTCCCACTATATATATCTGTTTAATAACTTCTTTCACTTCCCCTCTCTGTATTTGTTTAATAATATTTAGATAGTCTGATTCTGTATTCTTATATGTTATTATATTATATAATTATAAAATATGCATTTAACTATTTTTGTGTCATATATAATTAGTTATTAAAAGACCTGCCCAGCAAAAACATAATATTTACGTATGACTGCTTATCTATGTTTGGGTTGGATATAAAATTTAGGGTTAAATATGTTTTTAGTCCCTGAATTATTGGCCATTTCTGATTTTCGTCCCTCTTTCAAAGTAAGGTACAATTTGGTCCTCATTCTTTTCGAAATTTTTAAACAGTGTTTAGTTTTCGAGGACTAAAACGAACGTTTTGAAAAGAATGAGGATCAAATTGTACCTTACTTTGAAAGAGGGACGAAAACCAGAAACGGCCAATAGTTTAGGGACTAAAAACATATTTAACCCTAAAATTTAATGTGTAGTAGGTTCAAGACTTCTATAATGTTCGATAAAAAAGTAACACCAGCTTTGAATTTGCACCTTTGAATTTGCACCGATATGGTCTTGGAATGAAGCCTAATCGTTAAAGTAAGATTAATTGCAGCTTTTTCGCATCAATGGGGTTAAGGTTTGGGGTTGTGTATCGTAGATGTAGTTAGGATCTTGTATTATTCATTACTACGTATCGATAAGGTCAAATAAGGGTTAAGTACCTATACTTTGTGATCTAGCATCTCATGTGAACTTATCTTTGGTTATACACCTTCATGATCGTCCATATGCCATTCTCGGGTATAAAAACAACTTATATGGAAGTCTCAGAAATATCTGGTTGCCTTGAAAGAAGAGCTTGTAAATCCACGACTCAGTTCTTTGGTTTTAGTATTGTCCTGTTAGCAAGATACTCTATATTCGAAAGTCTCTCATCATCCAGAATGTTTGAACAGCAGTGAATAAATAATTTTGATTGTCTAATCCCAAAGATAACATCACCTTTTTAACATTCGGATTTTGTTGTCTGAAAGTTTTCCGGATTACTTAAAATCTGGAGTTTGCTAACACAGAAAAAGAGCCATTTTGCCCGTGTTTAATCGACGTGACACTAAAAGCTAGTTCACATGTAAGTTGACCTACAGTTAGAATATTTTCAACCTTAATTTTTAATACATATTTTTATACATTAGAAACTTTATATTTAAGCGTGCTTTTAAGCTTAGCTTGAATAAAGTTAAATCTTGGTTATTTAAATTTAAATTTGATTCATATAATTGTGGAATTTAAAAAAACTGAAATGTTTGTTTAGCATTTCATACAGACACGATTTTTTTTTATGTATCTCATACAATTGTTTATTATGAAGTGGAAAGAGATAATTTTTTTTTCTGAGAATGTTTTAATTCTAATTTTCTTCCACTTAAAACATTGTTTGAAGTGCATTTTTTGAAATATAAATGTGCGTAGATATTTGATATTGAAAATGAAATATTAAATTAGATTGTTATATTTAAAAAATTGTAGTTATTAATGGTGGAGCTTAAATCTTCAATGGAAAAGAGAAAATAAATATTATACATAAAATAAAATAAATTAGGGATCAGATAGTTGTTTAACTTCATACCTCATGAATTGTGGGACATATTCGATATAATCAAGAATCACTCATCTTAAATCTATAGTTGGAAAGAATCACTTATCTTAAATCTAAAGTTAGAAAGTGTCCAAATTATTCGTTTACAAGATATCTTGTTCAAGAAATTCAATACAGTGTAATATACGTTGTTAAAAGATATGTAATCATGTCATAGTAAAACATTCATAAACACTGACGTGGAACAAACTAACATGGAACAAACGCTGTTAAAAGAAATGTAATCATATGTTAGTAAAACATTCATAAACACTACCATGCATCAAATTCATGCATCAAATTCTGTACCCTATATGCATATGTTTAAAATTATTAAATATCAATTTTTATTAATTTTTAATTAGTAATTATTTAAAATTAGTTAGAGTTTATTCTCATAAGTTTAATGTTTTAAATTTAATATATATATATATATATATATATATATACACACACACACACACATAACTTTATTGTACATAGTAAAATTAATTATCATGCTAAAATTAAGAATTTTAAAAATAAAAAAGTTTGAATTAATTTTTATAAACAGAACACAAAAAAAAATTAAATCTAAACATTTCCAATTTCCTAAAATTTGAAATTTTCTCTTTCAAACACAACCATATGGTAATCAAGTAAAATGCTCTATTCTCCAGACAATATTACTAAGTAAATTAAAAATTTAAGATAACTACAAGTGATCTCATAATCAATGTTGCACTGAGTGTAACTTTAGAGGAATGACATCCTCGTGCTAAGCACCTAGATTAGAATAAAATGTGTAAATAAGTAACATAATGTTATGTTTTTTGTAGTTTAATTAAATAATATGTCCTGATATGATAGAATACAGACATTAAATCGACTGACAGTTTAAAAAGGTTTATATACAAATGGTACATACGATGATAACTAATAGTGTATAATCTTTGTAGGGTGTATATACGGCGGAACCTAAGATGATAGCAGATTCTAATAAAACCAATTTCAAGTTTACACGGGACATTGGAAAAACAAGGTCTACACAACATACTCTACATGAATTTTATCATTTCAAATCGTAAACCAAATGTCCAGGATGTTACTATCACAACCTTTACCTTCACTGCATCGAGTTGCAAACTTCATCAATTCAATATCACTTCAATTCCTGTATACATGAAAATTTATTGACGGTTATAGTGTTCCAATAGATACCAATGCCAGCTGGAAAACAACAAAAATATAGAGAAACTAGCTTTATCCATTGGATAACAAGAGCATTTAAGTTGAAATAGTCATTGCTCTGGCAAATCCATATCCCGATAGTTGTGCCATTTTTTGTATCTCTGCATTCCATTTAAAACAGGTCTAAGCCGATGAGCAGTAGTGCACGTCAAACAACAACAACCTCTTAGATCCTTTACACATTTTGTGCAGCATCTGCATGACAAAGGTTAACATGCTTCACAAGATGAAAATCACCAAATGCAAAAAAATAAGTCTTTCAAATAAATGGCAAATGAAACAGAGAAGGGAGTCTTACAGAAAAAGTAAATTACAATCAAGATTTGCGCAGTTCCTATGTCTCAATTCACTCACTTCCAAATTACATACATGGCATTTTGCAAACTTATCATCTCCAGAAACTGGAGTTAATTCTGCTTCGGCTGTGGCCCCAGTATAGTAGACAGAAGGAGGGAGAGACAAACGGGAGTCAAATACAAATAAATTTCCCACCCATTCAGCAGCCCCTTCGTTCTTTAAATAGTGAGAAACACCTCCCTTCAGGGTATATAGATTCTGAAATCCCTGCCTCCTGTCACATGGCATCAAAGCAATGCACCAAATTAACAATATGAGAAGGAGTAGAAAGAGTACGTGACTTCAGTTCTATGAATAAGGAATCAGATTACAAGTAGAGAAAAAAATTGAGAAAAGGTTGATTTTATGGTTTATTTGGACCAAACACTAGGCTAGCTCACAGGTTTTTTTTGGTCAAATAGGTTATCCCAATCCTGTTTCTAGAACCATAAGTAACGAATGTTTTTCCTCTTGTTAATCACTTTCTACTTTTGTTTCTTAATCAAAGCATCAAGGCGTTAGCATTCTCTAATAATAATAATTTACCTTAGTATTGTAGAATATACATCACATCGAATCCCTCCAGTGCAATACATCAATATGTTTGCCTTTTCTTTATCCACGTTTGATAAAGGATCTGAAGCAGTGATCTAAAGAGGGCATATCAGAGAGGAGTACATTAATACCCATAATGGAGAGATAAGACTTCGAATTAGTGACTCACAGATCCCAACCTATCATCTAGTCAAAGCTCATAGCGAATGAGAAAAAGTCTATATGAAATCAGATTTGACAATTACAGTGCCACATTAATCAAAGCAATTTAATAAATGGAAAATGTTATTTTTCCAAGTGAATAACAATGTTAAATTCAATGCAAAAAAACCAAGATCTTAAGCATTACTTTGATTAAAAGAAAAAGCCATACAACTTGATGGCAAGTTTCAGCTTATCAAGAGACCATATCAATCCTGAATCAGTCCACATTAGGCACTGAGACATCAGATAATGACCCAACCTCTTCCTGAGAAAGACCAAAAGAAGTGTTCCTAAAGCAGTCCACACTAGGTCGTTGAGTCCCACGAAAATGTCCAATATCCCACTCATAACCTGAACAACAGCATCGATACTGTATTAAAGTTGGAACCTATAATTAGGACAAGTATAAATATAAATATTTATAACAAAAAAGGGAAAATATATTGAGATATTTAAAAATATGAATTGAAGATATCAACCAAGGGCAGAAGAAACAAAATGATAGGTCAGAAGCCTATTCCTACATTTTTAACACGTATATTTGCATAGTGGACACTCCATGTATGTTAGTCATTGACTGAACCAGGTTCGTGTGTTATTACTAATATAAGTATGTACAGATTAGGACTAAGGCTATAATTACACCCTCACCCCTTTTAGGTGACATGGGGAAACAAGACACTTTTACAGTTAAGGAGCAAAATCAGGTTCCCTTTAAAAATTGCAATCAATAAACATATCAATTGTAACACTTTGCCCACGAATGTGTGACCAATGTACTTATGTTTGTCTTAACCAAATCTAACTTTCTAACTCACGTTCAGTGCAGTTAGAGAGTGATGCAAGCACACCCTTAATCATGGGAGAGAAAATACTCACTCCTTGTGTTACCCAGCCAGAACATTGTGCTTATGACCTGCAACAACTCAGGGACAAGGTACCCAATCTTCACTCTAGGTGATCCTTATGGTTGCCAAATAATTCGAAGAGGAAAGTATAGACTATAGAAGATAATATGAGATT